TAGCGAAAAGAGAATGCTCCTGTTGAGACAATGCCGGCAGCAATAGTTGCTCAACCTCCCTGACAGCCTCCGCAAAGGAAAGCCGACCCACACGAAGTGGGGAGAAGCGAGAGGATTCCGAAGAACGGAATGCAGGAGTGTGCTCGGGCCCAGGCGAAATCAAGTCCCAAGAAGTTGAACCCGAATGCTCAGCAGAAGCTGCCGCCGTCTGTGTCAAAGAAGTTTCCAATGGATCTACCAGTTCAAAACCAGGATCGTAGATTGGTGAAGGGGGCCGCGACCCAAATGAAAGACCTTCAGGGTCCAGCTGTGGCTCATGCCGATCATCCTGGCCAGCGACGACCAACTCCGGGAGTAATGGAGCCTCATGAGCAGCTTCCTGTGCAGACAGGGCCAGTGCAGGATGTAATGGATCCACCTCCAGGTCACCCTGAGAAGAAGCAACCACTGCATCAAGAACCAAAGCAGAAGGCGATGCCTCCAAAGTGGGCGAAAATTCCTGCTGAGATGAAGTCCGCTTCTGAAAACGCTTGACAATGCAACGAGTCTGCTCAGAAATCGCACTGTCGTTTCCCAGGGAAGGAAATGCATCATTCTCAGGCACTGACGAATCACTCACAGGCACTGACTGGTTCATAATGCAAATGAAGAGCCAAATGCACTGCAAAATCGCAAAAGCCAAACGGCCTGAAACCATGCACTCCTCCCCCTATCGCGAGCGGGAGAGGAATGAAGTGGAGCTAAATCCACAAGGATTGGGAGCCTCCAGAACTGTTCTAGAGGGCTTACAAGACGAGGCCCGTTAGCCTACAAAAGTTTCTGCCCGCTATGCAGGCGAGCTGGCAGCTGCGAGCCTGCTTGCTGCAATGCACATGGAATGTCATGAATGCAGCAAGCATGCAAAACAATACCAAACACTCGTGAGCAAGCACACATACCGGTCAAGAGCCCTGTCACGTACCGAGCTCTCGACACCGGCCCTCTGTAGCGCCTGAAACAAATCATCAAGACCTACCTCCAGAAAGGCGGGGTTGCTGCAAAGGTTCTGAATAACATGTTGCTGCAACGAAGTGACAATGAACCAAGCACTCCGAATGTACTCATCTGAGGCTTCCACGACATGCCAACGTCCCAGATAGGACCGACGCTCGCGATCGATACCCGACCATGATGCAAGTGTGGCAATGAAGTTTCTCTCGGAATGTCGGTAAAAGCAGCAACAACACTCGGATCCTCGAAAAGCGCAACATCAGTATGACGCACACTCCCAGCCTCGGTCAGCTCCGGCCGCTTTAGCTCCCACAGGAGCTGCTTGGACATCGTTGACATATCCACATAGCTCGCCATGACTGGCAGGCAAGTCAGTCCCTTTGTAGGCCGAGGCACCAGATAATCTCTGGAGAAGGCAAATCCATCAGAAGCCCAGATCTCATATCCGGCAGCCAGCCAACCACTATGCAAAAGCCAGGCACCCTTGCAAACAAAGAACGGCAGCCATCTGATGCGTTTACCAGCTCCCGAGGTTTTCGTTCTATCGAAAACTCCTCGTAATCCTTGTGAAGACATCGTCATCTGCTCCGGTAAAATGCCCTGTAGGTCATTGGCCCTGCTAGATGTCCATAGTTTCAATAGCCGTGCCCACGCATACGCTCTGACGAACTTCTTATGCGCAGTGTTCACAACCACGGCCTCTAAAGACATGACCATGATGAGAGCCAATGCTGGAGCTTGCTTGGTAGGTGGCGCCCCTGCTTCAAGCTCAGCAGTGCGAACCCGAACCAAGTTCCGCACCAGAACATGAGAAGAGATGGAGGCCTCGACCTTGACTCCTCCGACCCTCTCGAAGAAAATCACTGCAGAGAGCACAGACTGTAGCCTAGTCCTGGCACATGGTTCCTGCGCCAGCTCTTCCACATAATTCATCAAGAGGCCCAGATGCGAGGGGAACACCGTTCCCTCCACGGCAAAAACCCATGCCGAAAACTTGGACCATTCCCTCACATGCCGTCTCAAGGTGGATGCTCTAAGTGTTCCTGCTGACGCCTCCAGGACAGCCTGGCTATCAAGTGCGTAGCCTGCCATTGAGCAAACCGGCATGCATGCCCTTTTGAGCTCCTTCGCTAAAGCACGCCTCCAGCGTCGGAGCTCTTCAGCCTCAGCATCGGCCCTCGCACGATCGTGCTTAGCCAGGGCAAGTTTCTTGGCCAACCTGCATGGCCAAGATGTAAGAGATCTCTTCGCACCTGCCCTTGTCTGAAGCCATCCAGTGCTTACTTCAAGCTGCTGCTGAGGCCCAGCCGAAATCGATGAGGATGTTTGCGCCAGCTGACCTTGCACAGCTCTAGTCCTCACGACGCGGTCTGCAGCCTGTGATACATCAGCACAGACCTTTTCAAGAATCTCGCATGCACTGAACCATTCAGCTGAGCCCATTGTAAGTCCCAATGATTCCACAAAATCTTTGATGTCTGAATCATTTCGAAAACAAGTTCGACAAAATCTCGGGAGAAGGCTGTCGCGACTCCTGATCAAGAGCCTTCTTGACACACTCAGGTAAATCCCGCCACGACAGACTGGGGTCAGCCTCTTGCAGAGGCTCCTCGTCACCCATCGCGCATGACGATCACTCCGACCCATACACAAATGAGTCCCCCCCTGTTGGACTCCGCAGAGCCGAGCCCAAAGGTTCGGACGAATAATGATTATCATCTGTTCCTCCAGCAGGAGGGAACAACAACCGCACATGAAAAAGTTCATGTAAAACAAAACACTGTGTGACATGAAAATCAATCCATAAAAGAGTCGAAACCCGACAAAACAAATGGAAAGCATTTTCGATATTGGCACATGAAAATGTGAGCAAGTTATGTTTCTTAATCTCATTCTGATGGACAGGTCCACCTCACGTCTCAACACTGCAACGCGATTGCGACTCAGCAGTGTACAGCACAGCATGATCAAGATCAGCAGTTGTATGATCAGCATAATCCCAGTTGGATGCTCAAATGCAAAATCGCGCACAAGGTAACACATGTACACAAACCATTCAAGAATCTGTGCAAACACTCCAAGATTGTCGTCGTCCTGGCTCAAGGCGTGTCCTCGACATTCTGCGTATTGGGCTCATCGTTTGCACTTGCGACGCGATCAACTTGGAGAAGCATAGCTAACACTTGAATGATCTGCTGGGCGTTCAGCGATCCTTGTTTCACAACTCTGGAGACATGCAGTTTGTCCTTTGCTGAGAGGAGACAGGACTCCCCGACAACACCGTAGTTGCTGTCTGCACATCTGATTCCAATCATGCCTAGCAGCTTCTCAATCCGCTCTGCCTTCAATGGCTTTGTGCCGAGGTCCGACACGTTTTCAGCTGTAGGGATCGGCCCTACGGACAGCACATTGTCCTTAGTCATTTGCTGAAGCCAAAGAAGTTTGCCACTGATGTGGCGCATTTTCCCAACTCCCTGTCGGCACGCCAGGGCTCGACATGCCGAGTTGTCTACAAGGCAAATCTGTTCAAGCGTGTAATCAGGAAGGAGGAATCGGATGCATGCTGACAAGAAAATACCTTCTGCCGAAAGCGGACACAAGCGAATTGTATTCCGATTCTGCACTGCTCAAGCTGATGGTCTTCTGGGTTTTGCTATGCGCATATAGCAGCATGTTGTCCCAGAGAATCGCACAAGAGCTCACAGACTTCCTTGTTCTTTTGCAGCCGCTCCAGTCGGAGTCTGAACAAACTTCAAGCACGGTCGTATTCTCCTCGCGGGACCTGTCGCAGACGAGGCCCTTGCCGGACACAGGCTTCGAGAGCCCGATCACATAGTTGCGATGGCAATTGATGTACGATGCAACATGCCGCAACAACTTCCATGATCCTTCGGTGGGCGAGTGAGAATAGGTGGTCAGGTATCGAATCGCGAATTGACACGCCACAAGGTCTGAAGACATATACCGACACCTGAGCGATACCGGCTGGCGGTGGCTGCATCTAGCTCACGATCAGATGCGAGCTCAGTGGGCAGACCTCTGGTCGGGAACGGAGCTGCTTTGTACCTTTCCTTTGCATTCGCCAACCCGGTGACTTGCATGAGGCGATCAAGGTATTTGATGTCAGGCTCTATCACTAGCAAAGTGGGGCTTACAAGGATGTGGCACCTTTTCAAGAAAGATACTTGATCTCCTATGTGCTCAATCCACTCGCTAGACACCTTAAAAATTGACTTCAAGTGACTTTCAAGAACCTGCAGCCTTTCAGTCTGGCCGGCGGCCAGCATGTCGTCCACATGCACATAGCCTCACCCTGCTCCACTGGGCAGCCTGAACAACGCGGGGCTTTCCGGAAGCAATTCAACTCCGACAGCGACCTTCATTTCATTCGTGAAATCATTGTACCATGTCACACTTCCGTCCCGTTGTCCAGGGAGCATCCGCCACAACTTGAACCACTTATCACCTATGCGGGTGACGGTAGGGTGCTGCAGGCTGCACTGGAGAAAAGCATCGCTCACATCGAGCGCTAGCATCGACCACACGCAGCATAATCTGGTTCGTTGTCGGGCAAAACAACCCAGGCCTATCGGGGTCTAAATGTGCATACTCCCGCACCACGAGGCGCGAAAGCCTCAGCCAAACTTTCGATCCTTTGTAGACCTGTGGCCTCCATGTCCGCACGCTTTTGGTCGTAAGCGTCCTGTGGCCTTCAAGTCGATCAGGCACTTCACTTATGACCCCAAGTCCAGACAGCCGCTGAAACTCGGATGCGTCTGCTACAGCATCTATTTCATAAAGTTCTGCAGGGCTGCAAATGGGTTCACTTTCAGAAAATGGCCTAATCAAACAAGCTGGTACTTCAAGCTCGGCTTCACTTTCATACTCAACCCAATCAGCTGCATCAGCACATTCAAGATACTCTTCGGCTACCTCACCTTCAAGGACAACCTCTTCATCTTGATGAAACAACTGATTTCCACTTGCATCTGTCAGAACAGCATCTAGCCTCAGTCGCTTTCTGGCTGGTGGCTCGGCCTGCACAGGTGCCGGGCGAACTGTTCCGCCAGTGCTGGCAGCAGATCCATCGCTGCTGCTTGCGGCAGCAGGTGGTCCCCGCCAGCGCTTGCACTCTCTTCAACCAGCATCGGCGCTGGAGACTCCGGAACAGGTGACAACGCAGGAAGCATATCGGCCGGTGTGGCAGGCTCAGTGGCTCGGCCAAGCGAAGGGTTCACTCGTGAAGGGGTCGGAGGCTCTGGCGAGATCAGCAGTGGAGGTGGCGGAAGAAATGCAGACAAAGCAGTGTCATCTGGCACAAAGGCTCGGGACGCAGCATGGGCCTCGGCCCATCATTGGCAACGACTTCCGGCAACTTAGCTTGGTCGGTTGCTTCCTCACTCTTGCCTGCAATCGACTTCTGGAGCCTAGACTGCCCTGACTGCCCCGCCAGGAACGAGACTTGTGTCCAAGGCATGAACGTACTCAAGAAAATTCGCGTCAAATTGCTTAGGCAACCGCCGCACACTCCGGCTGGAAATCAGAAAACCTCCCTGGGTGGCCCCAAAATGCAAATCTGAAATTCCAAGCTTTCCAAGCGAAATCATCTTGACCCATCGGGCTTTCCCTTTGATTGAAGACTTCACCCTGGCATACACAACTTCGCAGAAATTCACTAGCTTTCCAAGATATGGTCTGCCGGTGATGATCTCGAAGGGGCTGTGCGCTTCGGTCCGCGCATACCTGGTGTGCAACCATGCTGCATGCTTCCAAGCCCACGCGTGGATCGGGGACATCGTTGAAATTTTCTGGCCCATTTCATGCTCGACCTGGGACAAAAGTGTCCCGGTCAACTGTCTGAGCTGCTCAACTGCCTGCTCTGCTGGATTGCCTTCATGGCTGTCCTTCTCGACTTGTGTAACAAGCTTAAGCTTATCCCTAAAGCCCTTTACACCCTGTTGCAGCGCTCGGCAAGTGAGCTCGCCGTCAGATCGCAGGGTGACTTCGGAATGACCGCAAAAGCTGATGAACTTGCAAAGCTCGGCAACTAAAAACCGGAAAGCTACCGAACCTCCCTTGGCAGGTGTGGGGATGGCAGTGCAGGCACCGGTGTGGGCATCCTTGGCAATTAAGCAAATAAGCTTTTCCCCACGTTCGCCATCAGGCCTCTCAGTGAAGCAATAATCAAATGAACACACGCTGCACTGTCTGGTCTCGGGCCTGGCTTGTGTGTGCTTGTCGGCACGGGCCTGGAACTTGATGCAGTGCTCACACCACGGCTGGTATGGGATGTGACTCAGGCAGTGCAATCTGATTTGCTCGGGCGTCGGAGCAGCTACGGGGGCTTGCTGACGCGGCTCGCTTTGCAAGACAATTGAATCATGCTGGACTTGGTGACGTTCCAGCAACTTAAGCTTGTCAAGATGGCTGGCTATCCTCGACAACACCGTGGCTTTGCCGCCACTCTGGCCTATGCCTAGGGCCTAGGCCTTTGCACGCAGCACGCAATGTCTTAAGATTGCAACCTTCATGCAGCTCAACTCCATCAACAACGATGTGGCCTCTGGCGGGCTCTGAGTCGTCTGGCGCTGCACTTGCGTCGGCATCGATGGGGGCTTCACCTGGGTCAACCTCTCCAATCCCTGCGGCCGGCGAATCTTCAAGCATTTCATCAAGGGAATCAGCAGGGAGCTCGGGAAGCCCTGCTTCGGACATGTTTGTATCCTGCTCGGCCTCTGGCGGGCCGGTTGCACGCTGATTGAACAGCACATCAACATCGATCTTATCACAAGAAGCAATGGTGATCACATGCCGCGTCTGCTTCGGCTCAAACTCAGCTTCGGGCTGTTCAAGCAAAGACAGATCCTGATTCAACTCGATGACATCCCAACTTGAACCGTCTTGCACAAGCGTGGTGCGGTACTGCACTCCAAGGCTCAGGTGAGGCACTGACAATGCCACTGAACAATCAACGAAGCAATCGCTGAAGTCCCGCCGGGCATACACAAGAGGAGCAACTTCATGAAATTCCTCAGACAGCTCAAGCCATGGGCCTGAAACAAGTGCTCTGATGCCTGGCTGACCATCGGCCTCGGAGGCCGTGACTCCTTGGATGAAACCTTTTGCACGCAAGCTGTAGTTCTTGTAAAACAGTGGGACGCAGACTCTAGCATCAGGGCCCGTGAGGTGCGGAACCCTGTCAGCATCATGGATAATGTCCCAACCGTTTCGCGTCATAAGCTTGCCAAAACAAAAGAGAGGCTGGGTAACACTCGAAAGCAACCAATGCTCACGAAACTTCACCCCAGCAATCTCAATCGTGGCCGTGCGCATCTCTCGGCCTGATACGCGGTTTCCTTGGGCATCGCGGTGCCACTGGGAGTCGGCACCGCCGGATTGCCCAATCGTTCCCCAGCTCATCGGCAAGCAAGAAGCATCGGACCCTGAGTCCACAACGACCTCGATGTCGACCGGCTCGGCGTGCGCTGCCGCGCCGCTGGAACGCTGCACGGCACACAAACTTCTGGCCGCTGTGGCTGCATCTAAAGCCTCGATGGCCTCTGCAAGGTGGGGCAACTCTTCAGGGCAAGGCTCTCTAGCATTGTCGGGTGCAGCGCATTGCACATCAAGACATTCGCCGTGACAGATTGTCCACTCTCCATCCAAGTCTGTGCATGCAAGATGTGTGGTCACCGGCTGAAGATTGGGAAGCTTAGGGGACCCGTGCGGGTTAAGGGCTAGGACCTTCACAAGGTCACCAAAGTCCAACAAACCCTCGGCTGCATGGCCTCCCACACATCTTTCCTCGTCGGCACCTGCGCACTTGACTGCTCGAACACCTGCAGGCACGTCAAAATACTGGATGGACAACTCTTCCTCGGTCATGTCAATCTCAATTGGCGACTCAAGCTGCACACGATTCACACTCTTGGCAGCACTCGGACCTTGAACCTGCGAGGCAGACGGACCAACTGTGCTGGGCGCAACTGTGCTGGCTGAATCACTACCGGCATTCTGGACTTGCTGGACACGGTACCAGCACTCGCTTTGATAGTGACCTTTCTTGCCGCACGAGTGACACACAACATGCTGCTTGTTCGCTGATGGCTTGCCTGGCTTGCCACCCTTGCCTTTGCCTTTGTCACCTTTGCTGCCTTTTCCTTCGGGCTGCTTGCCACCCTTGCCTTTGCCTTTGTCAGCTTTGCCGCCTTTTCCTTTGGGCAGCTGGTTACCGCCCTTGCCATACTTGCCTTTATTGTTCTCAGACCGTGCTTTGTATCGTGTTGTCTGCCGTGTTTGAACCTTCAGGGATGAATGCTTGCACTCACAACATGTCGCATGCAAGACGTTCAGAGCTCAACGCCATTTTCACACAGTGGGGGTAGAAAGTACCGCGATAAAATCTATCACTTCTATTCCGGGCTTCCTGCCCCTTGAGAGGTCTCGCTGCAACGAGCGAATGCATTCTTCACTTGAATCAACAGACATGTATGATAACGAAAGCTCAACCGAAATTAGCAATGTAAAATGAAAGCCCTAAAACAACAAACAAAAATTGACTTAGTTCTCTAAATCATTTCGTCATGTTGTTTCACTCCCACGCCGCAAAGCACACACAGTCGTCGTCTGTGAGACTTGCCTGGCGTCGGCCGAAGCCCCGCAGCTTGCTGCAAAGCAGGCTTATGCTGCACTACTGTCCGACTGAAAGATTCAGTCAAAAGAAGCTGCCCTTCCCCTACACGGCGCAGCTAAACTGCAAGAAGAGGCACTGTGCCCCCTTGCTGAGAGAAAGCGTGACTGGGAGGAGAACCCTCGACCAGGAAACAGGGAGGAGAGCCCTCAACCTGTTAGAACTGAGAACTGCCCCCGCGAAGGCGGTAAGAGAGGAGGAACCCTCATCGAACCATTCTCACAAGTGCAGCGAGGGTGGAACCTCAGCTTACCTGACTGCGGACGCAGGCTGGAGAGTGCACAAGAATAGGTACGAGTTGGATTGGACCACTTGGAGCATCTGAGGGTCTGTCCTTCGCGCCTCCGTGTTGTCATCAGTGACAAAATGACACCCCTGATGGAGGAGGCATGTGCGATAGTGACCGGCATATGGTGTGCGGCCTTCATGAAAAGCTATTGCATTGACTTGGTATCGCACATGTTTGGTCCGTAACGTGCTCTCATCCTCCCAGATGGGCACCTGCAGTGACGGCTCATCGAATCTGATTGGCGTTGCGAGTTTACGCACCGCACCAGTGCGTTCATTGAACACATACCTTTTCAGCTGAAAGCAGAGAAGTGGCGCTGCTGAGGAAAGAGCGCAACCACAGCGTTGACCCCGAAACAATTGTTCAACACAATCCTGAAAAGTGCTCAGCTGTTCATCCGCACGAGATGCAGGAATGTGGAGGGGGATCGGTGTTTGGAGCGTGCCTTCATCCAGCACATGAAGCGCTGGGCCACTGATATCCCTTGCCTCCCAGCACTCCTGACCGAATGGCATACAGCAGAAGGACACAAAATGTGAGAAGAACTCTGCAATGTCATGCTGCCTAAGGGGGTGCGCCCACCATCGCATCATATCCTGAACAATGGGCAGATCTCGAAGCACGACAGGCCGAGTAGTGTTTAGCAAGGCCTGCAGTCTATTGGGAGGACCAACTGGCGAAGACGAATTGGTGGCGAAGACTGCTTGGATTGTCATCCTCATTTTTGGGCCTTAACCTCGTGGTTAGGGAATGTCATTTCGCACCATGTGAAAAACAATTTTGGACCCTGCAAAAACAAATGATCGTTTCATTGCTGTTCTTTGGGTATCTTGCTGCTATTTGGGGCTGGCCATGCTTAACTTATTCTGACTGTTTTTGGGTACTGAATCAGTTTGCGAACTTGTCCGCTGAGAGTGGTACGGTTGTCCTGGGGGGTTCGATTGCATGTCGGATGGGCTCGGAAAATGGCTCCACCAACCCCCCATTGTTCTGGCCTTCAAAAACCACGAGGCGGAAACTATGTAAGTGCCGGCAAGCCTGGTTGGCCAGTTTGACGTCCAGGGCTGGCGGGGTTGGTTGAGGGGCTGGGGCTTTGGGGGGGTTTTAGGGTTTTTAAGGGTTAGGGTTAGGGCTTCTGAGGGTTTCGGGCTTCTTAAGGCTTCGGGCTTAGGGTTTAGGGCTTAGGGCTTAGGGGTTAGGGTTTAGGGGCTAGGGTTCAGGGCTGGGGCTTGGGTTTAGGGCTTCGGGTTTACAGCTTATGGTTTAGGGCTTAGAGTTTAGGACTTAGGGTTTAAGGCTTCGGGTTTAAGGCTAAAGGTTTAGGGGCTGGGGTTTAGGCTTAGGGTTGAGGGCCTAGGGCTTAGGGTTTAAGGCTCAGGGCTGAGAGCTGAGGGCATTGTGCTGGCAGGGCCGGCAGGGCACGGGCAGGGAGGCAGGGAGGCAGGCAGGACAGGGAGGGCCAGGTATGCAGGCCCGTGCCACGGCCCCCTTGCATTTGTTTTTGGGGCAGTGTTTTGGTTGCTTTTTCGGACCTGTTTGCCCAAATTTCTGGACTTGCCAAACCCCAAAGTTGGCGCAGACCAATTGGAAACCAACTGGCGCAGACGAATTGGAATGCACGTCCCTTTTAAACTACTGTTGCCGACCCAAAACGGTGGCGAAGACGAATTGGAAAACCAACTGGCGCAGACGAATTGGATCGTCTGTCCTACGCTTTTGGAGCTTGCAAACCGACCCTTTTTGCAACCAAAAGTTGGCGCAAACGAATTGGAAAACGAACTGGCGCAGACGAATTGGAAAACCAACTGCCTAAGCACACAAGCACAGCCTCCCGACCAGTCTGCGGCGGACAGGGTGTTCTGGCAGCAGCCAAGCAAGTCAAGGTCACTTCCACCACTCAAGACTGCACGACCTGCACTCGCTGAAGCTGAAACTGCACAATCACAACTTAAACACAAAACTAAAAGTGCTGCATTCTGGCATGCCGCTGCCATCTTCGAAGGCCGCCTCTGCCTCTGCGCTGAGCCAGCACATTGTGCTCGCACGGGACAGGAAGAGATAGTTTCTGGTCGGAGTCCCTGGCCCCAGAAAGCCTCTAAGTGAACAACCCTCATCTAGTTTACATTTCCCTACATCCTGGAGCTCTGGAGAAAGGGAATCCTGGAATCAGCATACTGCAAACTGAGTCCGAGCTGCCGGGCAGTCGTTTCAAGGTTGTCAAAACAAGCTAATAGTCTAAGCCCTAGCCAAGAAATTACAGTTAATACGGCTTTACTAATATGATATGTCGATGGCTTAAATCATGCCAGTCTCAGAAAAGTAGGTTTTCCAATCAGTCTTGGCCAACCAAATGGTCTTCCCCAGTTGGTCCTTCTGAGTCTAGTCCCAAGCGCCCCCAGCATTCCATGTGGCATGCCCTCCTGCGCCCACACGTGCACAAGAATCAGAAAGGTGGAGTTGACGTAACACGAGTTGGTCGCACTCGGGTTCCTGAGCCTGAGCCGTAGCGCCACGTCAGGTTGCGGACCTCCTCCGCTTCGCGGCCGTGCTTCTGCCTTTCCTTGTGCATGTTGGCGGCTATGAGCTGCAAGACTGCTAGCCCAGCCAGCTTCGCAAAGGCTTCGTACAGGATCTGGCATTGGCGACTCCGAAGGCCCACCGTCACCTGTCCTTCGCATAGCTTCGTGGTTAGAGGTTGGGGCTCTCCGTTCTTTCAAAGAATCCTCGAATACTAAAACAAACGTCTTTCTATAAAAGCGAATCAAATATCGTATCTTCCAAATGAATCCAACTGGAATGAATAATAAAGGACATGTGAAAGGAAATATGTCGGGCAATCAAGAGCACTCGGACGACACTTGTTTTATTCGCAGTGGTTGGTAGTCTCGCGGTGCCCTTGGTAGGGCGGATGCATGTTGATGCATCCAACCCCCCCGCGGCATGGAACGGACTATTCTCGGAAATGCTCTGGCATTCCAGGGTGGGCTGGGCGGGATAAAGAAAAATGAAACGAGCCACGGCCTGAGCCTGACGTGGCTGCCTGTTCAAGACTTCAACTTCGTGAGACTGCAGGACTGACCCGAAATATGCTGGATCAAAATTCACTCAGAAGAATTCATGCCAAAGGAGAAAACAAAACCTGACCGTGGATATTATTTTCTTTCAAGCAAGAGCACGGGATCCGCCTAGGATCCAAGTCCTCAGACAACAACCCCCCCCCCGCCCGTCGGCTAGCTCCGGACAGATCTACAGGGTGAAACCCGGTTTAGCCTGTCCTTCGCATAGCTTCGTGGTTGGAGGTTGGGGCTCTCCGTTCTTTCAAAGAATCCTCGAACACTAAAACAAACGTCTTTCTATAAAAGCGAATCAAATATCGTATCTTCCAAATGAATCCAACTGGAATGAATAATAAAGAACATGTGAAAGGAAATATGTCGGGCAATCAAGAGCACTCGGACGACACTTGTTTTATTCGCAGTGGTTGGTAGTCTCGCGGTGCCCTTGGTAGGGCGGATGCATGTTGATGCATCCAGCCCCCTTTCCCCTTCAGGCACGCACTACCAAGGTGTTTTCTCTGCCTTCCTCTTTTGAGGCTGATGCCCCGAGGCACCCTGATGCAGCATGGCCTGAGCCCTTCGTGCTGAGTCGAAACCTTCCTTGGTCTCCCACAACTGATGTAGGAGTGAAAGAGGCAAATCCGAGTATGCAACTGCAATGCGATGTTTGTCGGAGAAGTTGGTGAAAATCTCGTTCGTCAGCTGGTCTGCGTACTGATTCTCATCACGGGGCCTCCACCGCAGGAGGAGTTTCAAGGAGGAGCGAAGAAGCAAATCAGACAACTGCATGTTGATCAACATGAGGGTCCATTTTGTCGATGACCCCTTTTTGAGCAATCTCGAGTTGCCCTGATTGCGAACAAACTTCGGACTTTTGCAAGTACTCTGAGCCTGAATGTTACGTCGATCGTACATGCTTCGCATGCTCTTCGAGAAAACTACACGAGTGGTCAAAAGCTACAAAACTGTTCTAGCAAAATAAGAGTACAGGGCATAGGGGAAAATTTTGATCACCCCGCCCGGACATCCCCAGTGACTTAGACTGGAAGATGTTCGCATCAACATACAGCGTGCGATACATCACAGTAGCGACCACTTCTTACTACAGTACACGGCTCAACAAGTCAGCGTAGCTACGATCTAAAGTCGTCTGTACACTACGCGCACTCCATCAAAGGCTCGGACAGCCGATGACGAAACGCAAGCTTGACTCACCCAAGCGTAGGCGTTCCAAGTTCAAGCGCTCCTCTCAAGAACCAAAACAATTCATGGCGGATCATGCATCATGCTTAACATTGATGCCCGGGATTATAGCGGCCTAGTTACCACTGACAGCTCATCACGAGACTTTCCTTCGGAGTCATGACCGCTCCACGGTCAACACAATCGTTGTTCGGACATAACAAGATTGACACCAAAATGGTGTGTATCGTGCACAGTTTTGCACGCTCCAAGGATGGTTCACACATCAAGGTCAAGAATGATTCACAGGTGGGTTTCTGAAGCTATGTACAATCGTCGCTGGTCGTCAATGACACACACCCAAAGGTAGTGCCACTGACTATATACAGATGGCCAATGCATCAGCATCATGAGATGTACAGAAGCTTTTTTTGTCTAAGTGCCAGATTGGCTCCAGCCGCAGACTTGGAAATCTCCAGCCACTGGCCGCGGGGATTGAGACACTGCGTCTGGAAGATGCTCCTTGCCATTTTGAGCTTTGCGCCCACAGCCGGTGCAACCGCAATGTCAGCCTCGCGCAACTGAGCAAGCGCCTTCCGTCCGAGGCCGCGGTGATTGGACCAGCTTTTGTCAACGGGTATGGCACAGACGGCAAGGTGCACCATTCTCGTCATTTATGAGAGTCAGTAGAAAGGAGCACGTTGAGTCCGTGAATGTCACGGAAGCGAGACGTTCTTCTTATTGCACTGTAGAGCCGAAGCAACCCACAGGAAGAAGCGGCAACGAAGTTTGCGACAACCGGCTTCTGCAAAAGCAAGTGGATATCCGTGGAGTGGTCCACGCAGAGATGCCGTTAATTTAGCCACTGCATGTTGGGCGGGCCACAAGCAAGTTGGTGGACGCCACTTGCCCAGAGTCCGTTTGACGAGCGGAAGCCTTTAGATGCCTTGCAGACACCGTGCCAGAAGAACTCAACCTTGAGAACCTTCCTAAATTGAGCTTAGGGAAGAATGGGCGTGCTGGCTCTTCTTGTCCTCTGCGCCGGAAACGCGGAGCTTCTATTCAGGAACGCCCGAGAGAGCTTGCTTGTGATGTGATCATGTCAGATTGGATTCCCGTACGCGGCCTTGTTGCGCGTACAGGGGCTGCTCTGCTTCGCTTGCCAAGAGATTGCTAATCTTAACAAACCGCAAGCCAACTGCTCCTGCAGTGAAGAAAGGAAGTACGCTGCTGCGCATCGATGTTTGAGTTCTTCTCTGCCTGGGTTGCCGAGTATTTGAGCCGGTGCCACAGTGGCTTTTGCCAGTTACGGAGGCGATGAAGACCAAACCGCGGACGCGCCGTGATGGATTGGCCACTCCACTGTGCTTAAAATCCACACTCCGGAGGAGGAGCTGGACCGGGTAACCATCCACTGTGTGCAGCAAGGGCTGTAGCATCCCGGGTGAGATAGATCGCAGCTGTACTGGCAGCAACACACCGCAGTGCAGCAGTGGCGTCCTCTGTGTCGCCTTAACACTCGTGCTGCCTTCTCCAGCAGTGCGCCGCTGGCTGGAACCGGCGCCACGCCGGCTGTTTGTTGGCAAGGGTTCTTGCTTGGCGGTGGGGTCTCGCTTGGAAGCCAAGGACATTTGCACCAAGCTGCCGTCCCGGATTGGAGACTTCCGTTCCGCCAGAGCACGGAGAAAGCCCCTTGAGTTCTGCAAGCTCATCAAGGAGCAGCCACCACCAAATCTCGGGGCGAGCAAGCTTGCCAGGACAGGTCGAAAAGGCAGGCGCAGAACAGAACTGAGCCAATGCGACAGACACGGCAAGCAGGGTTGTCAGACAGACGCGAAAGGCTTTACTATCAGCCATTCCAAAATGAACTCCGCAAAGGAAGTGCCCTCTGCCACGTGGTTGGTGTGACGACCGTGACTTTCCTTCTTCGCGACCGTGTGCCGGAGCCAAGCCAGCACATCGGAGTTGATGGTCACTGCCGTACCGGAGTTTCCTTTATGCATTGCCTCCGACACAAACAATACGACGTTGCTTGAAAGGTTGCGACAAGGCGGGGTCTCCACAGCGTCCAACAGGGCCGCTACATGCTCCATGTAGTGCAAGCAACGGGAAGGGAGACAGCACTAGCGCCGGACCTTTTTGCCAGGCACTCCTGTGTCTGGGTCCGAGCGGACCTTTCCGAAGGTGCAAGTTACATGCAAGGTTCCGATTGTCTTCGTGGGCCGTCTCCAGATTGCCATTGCTAACCGACTGATGGCGGACTTTGAGAATGGACTTCTTCCGGCCAGACGCGGCGAGTTTGACCCGCGCATGTTCACGCATCCGGGCTTCTATCGCGCCACCTTTCGACTGCATCTCATTGGATCTCAGCGGTCGTGACCTACTGAGCGCGGGGCACAAAAGAAGAAGTTTCACTTTCCACCCGCTTATGGCGCTTTGCGCATTTCAACGCTGTTGAAGTCAAAGCGATGGTCCTCCTTTCCATGCTCTATCTTCTGAAGGAGAGTCACTTTTCTTCGAGTGGCCGTGACATGCAACGACTGCTCGACAGCTGGCCGCACGATGCAGCGGCTGGCTCCTCCAGGTGGCCTCCGCCCTTTGTCGACCGTGGGACTGACGACCTTCGTCGTTGTGTCGATTCCCCTTCCAGAGGCACGCAAGGGCCACATGCTCTGGTCGAGACCAGGCTGGGCGGGCTGGCGACAGATCTTGTAAGGAGGATGGGCCCCACCCCCTTTGACAAAGGGGGGCTTAAAGCCCCTTTAAAGCCCCCTTCAAAGGGGTCTTTTTGAAGGGGGGGGGGGGCAAAGGGTCGAAGCCTTTAAGCCCCCCTTAAAGCCCCTTTAAAGCCCCCCTTTAAGCCCCCCTTTAAGCCCCTTTAAAGCCCCCCTTTAAGCCCCTTTAAGCCCCCCACGCAATCACACACACACACACACACACACACACACTGAATGCTAAGGAAGGTTTCTGTATGCGACGGACCACCTGATGTCCAGGTCTCGAGCGACCACACATCAGAGACTTTGGACACGTATCTTCATGTGCAGTAACGTCGAAGCTGAACGGCTCAAAGTAATCCCACATAAACCTAAAGACCTGACTAAACCACAAAGGGCCGAAACCTCGATCCCCGCGCAAACAAGCACTGCAAGTACTGTATGCCAGGATGTCACGCAAGCACTGACGGAGTTCAGAATGGGGTTCTTGGCTTGGCCCCAGGCCATCCAGAAGATTTCATCACGAGTAAAGTATAACCAATGCACAGCGAGGATGCTAGATACCAAATACGTTCGTTGTGCAGGTACACGGAGTTGATCAGACTCCGCTTCCCCCATGGTGGATAGCTTCGTTGGCACAGGTACCACCATGGGCCTGTGCCCCCTGCTGTGTACTTTGTACTCAAGTTCGGGTATATATGAATTGCACTCGAGAAATGGCTGCAGAGCGTGAGGAGAAGGCCCTTGGATACAGGGTTGTCACACACACACCCCGCCGTAGCGGGGTGAGTTAATCATACGAAGACGGTGAGCATGTAGAGCAGGTAGAGCCGTCGGGTGAACTTGGAGGATCTGGCAGCGGTGCAGGGAATGCCGGTGGAGAACTTCTCGAAGAGGAGTGGGTAACTCTTGTCTGTGATACTGACGTCGATCAACGTGAGAAGCGTAGACTCTAGGTGCCAGCAGACCAAGGCTAAATTGCCAACGATGACGAAGAATCATCTGTCTCATGGTATGATGTAGCCGGCGATCAGCAAGAAGTAACGCGTGGAGTACGCGTGAGGGTGGTGCAGTCATGAACATGCTGTACTGGTAACCGCAGATGGTCGGGTCATAGTAATCCAGTCGCTGAAAAGAAGGACTGAGTTGACAAAGTCCATGAAGGGTGTCGAGATAGAAGCGGTTCTGAGAAGTCGTGAACCGGTGCTGCGATATGACAAAGCGTGGGTCAAGGAGGGTGCTGGGGATCGCCAAATCTGGTGAGGTCATTTGACGAACTTGCCATACGCGGATCTCCACCAAGTAGTCGAGCCACCATTCGGGCGGGATGTCGAATAGTTGCGGAGCCATGGACGCAAGGGTAAAAGGAAAGGAAAGGAAAGGAGGGCGAGGACTAGCCAAATAGTGCTGAAAGGGCTGCGGTGAATCAAATAGACCACGGCCAAAGTGCAAACGCGTGGTTCTTTGTCTCAGAATTGCAGTTAGTGCCCTCCGAAGCGTCACCGTCTCACAGCCGGGAGAAGACCATGTCGTTGTTGTTCCTGTTGCCAATAAGGATTTGCCATTGTGATGGGTGGTGGAGGTGAGTAGCAGCGAGAAGTCGTAGGTGTCCATTTGGAAAAGGAAAGGCAATGCGCTGAACACCAACATGTAGTGATCCAGGGTCCAGATGAAGTAGGACGCCATTGTGCCAGGGTAAGATCTCGGATGCGAACGCGTAGACAAAGTCGTGATGCAGACCGTAGCTGAACGTGAGCTCGCCAGCACAGTTGGTTGCAGTGTACGATGACCAACGGTTGATAATGATATATCGTAAATACCGTGTTGTCGTGATGGAAGCCAAAGAAATTGTGGGCGCTCATCTTGTGATCTTGAAGAGCGGCGAGGAACTGTTGCCAAACGCCAGATTGATGCCAGGTGCAATCACCGCGATGTGCAGTCAGGGTGGAGAAGGCTGAGCGGGTGGTGTGGCGATCATCAGTGTGTGGACGTTGGCAATGACGGGGGTCCAATTGTATTACCGTCTGCATCTCGAAATAGGAGAGAATCATGGGGAGGATGTCAGAGAAGGAAGCCATGTGTCGGTGAAGGGAGGGGCAACTGCGTTTGTGCAAAAAGCTGCGGTGAAGAGGGCTCCGAGTGTGGCACAAACAAAGAGGAGATACAGGGCAATGTTTTCCAGAGCGGGTTCTCACTGTGATCAGGAATCAGAGTTCGCGGAGAGACCGTCGTCGGCGGGTGGCGCATTCCCGGTAGATGAGTGCCAAGGGAATAAGTTGGTCTTCGGGTAGTTCGTGGCGACGTCGTATCCGTGAATTGTCCGAAGCTGCAGTGGGTCCTCCTCGTTCATGTGCGATAATGTCTAACATGATGCGGGCGTGATGTCTGATGCAGTTCTGCACGTCCTGATAATAGGGTGAGGCAGGAGTGCACTGGCGCCATTGTCGGAGCCATTGTTGTCGACGACGTTCTGCAGCATCTCCATGAAATGAAATAGTGGAATGTGTAGCGCCTGATTTGCTGCGACGTACTTGATGTAATGCATAGCCATGTCCTCGTGGAGGTATCCGAATGCGAGGGGGATTGTTCACTGCGGAAGGGCGATTGGTCGTTGTGTGCGAAGTTCGCATCGTCGGCGCAGTGGTGTTCGTCCCGGAGGTTGTCTCCCGCGAGCGTTTCTCTGGACGGGAAGAGGAAGCGGCAGGGTCCATTGTCTCCGGTTTGGTAGTGGAACCCGGTGCAGAGGATGAGGACGATGAGGATGTTGACGTCGAGGTGGACGTCGTTTTTGAAGGCCGAGACGATGTGGAAGAAGAGGATGTAGCATGATGGCGACGTCGACGGCGGCGTTCACTGCGTCGTTGTCCTGTGGCAGGTAGACCACCATCGTGTGCAGGGGAAGCTTCCAGGTCTGATTCCATGTCCGGGTCTGGTGTCCAGGTGACGTCGTCCAAGAGATAGGAGTCGGGTGAAGAACCAGCCATGATTAGGGGCTCTGGTGGTGACTTGACCTAAAATGCCTGCGATTAAATCAACGAAACGAAGAGGCACAAGACCAATAAAGACAGTGGAGCAAGTTTTCCGGGGATTCACTGACCTGTCGCCAACGGAGTCCAAAGCGACGAAGTACCGATCGGGATGCGTCCTCCAGCGAGCGTTCAGAGAAACCTCGTTCACGATATAGGTGGATAAGTTCACGAACTTGAGGTGCAATGACGGCTTTGGGCCAGGATAATCTGCAAATGAGGTAGATCCGCGTGGTTAGTCCCTGAGTGTTCCTGCGTGTCGAAGAGACGGAACACGGAGAGCGCAAAGAGATGCTGTTCTGTGGGAGGACAAGGCGGATGGTACGTTGTGCAGTATCCACGACGGTGCCCAGCAGTTCTTGTCCCGGAACATGTTCCAGTTCCAAGGGTAGGCCATAGAAGTGTGGATGTAGGTATATCTCTTGAAACCAGCCAGAAGATGTAGTAGAAGAAGAAGAGAAAGGATCAGAACATCGGTGGGCGTGGTGTCCCGAATGTTCGTCCAGGCATGCGAGCTCCCCATCCCAAATCCGAAGGAGGCAACGATTGTCCACATAGCGTGAGGAACAGAAATAGCGGGAGGTCAGCAACTGATCGCGGATGAGTTGGTGGAAAGTGGCCTCCCACAGGGCTGCGGTCGCTCCGCACATTGGGGGGGCCATGGGTGAGCCCATGGAGGCACCGCGATGTTGTACCAAAATTTCCGTGCCAACTGTGAAAAAGGAGTGGCGCAGCAAGAACATAACCAATGAAGGTAAGTCGCGAAGGCATAGAGGTTTGTAATGTGAGCCGGCTTTCCGATAGCGTCCGCGAAATAGACGTCCAAGTGAATTGCGGTCCCGCATCGTGATCTGGATGTCAGAGTCCAGGGGAATCTGTTGATGGCGAGCGAACATGTCTGTCAGAGACGAAATAGAGTGGTAAATGCGATCATGTGGAACCGAAGTGAAGAAACCGGAAAGATCTTGTTGAAGTAGCTGAAGTTCCACCGTGACCGGGTTGTTGCGGAAGGCATGTATAAACGTCTGGATGATGGAATGGACGGTGGGGGAGACGAACTGAGGTGGAACGACCGTCTGTAGCATCTGTAGAACTGCGGTCGAAAGAAATTTCGCAAGTGTGGCACACCATGTGTTGGAATAGCTGACAATCGGGCGACCCTTCAAAAATTGTTTGGAGGGCTTGGGAAGCACGTAGGCGTACGGCAAAGATTCTTTTGGTGCCAGGGCCCAATGATAGCGAGAAGGAACATGTCGTTTGATAGCTCGTTGTATATGCTCCGACAGCTGCATCGGGCTGGTGTCTCGCCGCCAAAAGACTGCTGGATCCAGAAAAGTCTTGGCCAAGATGTCGAAATATTGTTGAGGACAGAATCCATACGCCAAATGTGGACCATGGTCAATGGGGGAAATCACAATGTGTTCAGAGTTTTCCCGTAAGTTCTTGAGTTCACGTAGCTGTCTGCCGTCAGGTCGCAACCGTAGAGTGTGTCCATGTAGTCGCCATTGGTGTGAGACAAAAACCTGCCAGCGAAGAAGGGATTGGTCAGGTTGTCGCCATAGCTTGAACCATCGGCTCATAGGGGCCACTGTGTACCGGCGAAATTGCGGTTTGGTCAGCCATCTGCCGTCGTTCATGTTCTCTCGATAGATGGGTTCACTTAATACGACATCGGCCGGAGCTGCTACATGGTCAGAGGGTGTGCGTTGTCCTGGAAGTCGTTGGCAACAGCAAGGAAAAGGTTTGTCTGGGTCCCACTGTCGCAGCCATGCGTGGTGGTTGAACAAAGTTTGACCGAGTGTAGGGGCCTTTCTTTCAGTAATGGTATATCGCGGTAGATGGTGAGGCGGAAACCATTCTCGGTGATGAAGTATATAGCTGTCCAACCAATGTTGAGCTTGTCGTAAAAAGTCATGAGCCAACTGAGGAAGAGGAAGCAGTCGGTGACGAGGCGGAATGTCCCCTCCTTTGTAGCGGAGGGCCAGTCGTAATGCTTGCAGGGCACGTGTCTGGTGTGGTTCATCGACAAACACAAGGAAGCGGACGAGCAAGTAGAGGTAGGCGATAGGAGTGCTATTCCGACGTAACACTCGTTGTGAAAAGAACTTGAGAATGCCATTGCTGCCGACATATTGTATGATCGTGGCGAGTGTCTCCCGTTGCTCGATGAGGGAGCGAGTGCCAAGAAGTTCCGGTAGGTCCCGGTAGTGAGTATACCGATGATGAGCACGTAGAAGACGAGCTCCGTTGCCACCTTCCAAGAAGGTGACGATCATGGGTACCTCCAGCTGCACCCCCAGCTTCCGTAGAAACGTGTACACGAAGGGGGCATTCAAGTGTGGGTGATATGTCGCAATAAGGGCCTGTTCCAGAGCACGGACTTGTTCTTCAGTTGGACGGTGCTGTAGTGTAATCGGTAAATAATGGTCATAGGTGCCGGCCGCGTGCCAGATGCGCAGGGCAGGTTCGAAGAACGCTTGTGTGCCGGAGCAAAGTTGATTGTATTTCGACCGGCGGCTGACTTCCCGGTCGGTGACCGTGTGGATGGTGGAACCAATATACCATCCGGGGTGCTTGTGGGATACTTTGATGTAAACGACGCTGGACTGTAGGTGATGTCGTAGAGTGTAACGCTGTACGTCTGAGTTGAAAAATAGATCCTGAAGGCCGCGGTGGTTGGTGGTGGTAGCAAACCGCAAGCGATGAAGTTGTAGAAACCATAAAGCTCGTACCCAGGAAAGGCGTCCAAAAACGTGATGGGGAAGAACTTGTCGTATAACCGGTGATGCCGCAATGTAAAAGTCCAGGAAGGATCCAAGGAGTTTATGTGGTTGCGGCGGTAGGTGGCGGCGACCTGGAGGTCGTGAAGGTGAATGCAACATCTCGTCATCATCGTCTCCCAAGTCCTCCACGAAAAATCGGTCAAAACTGAAGATCTCCAAGCAGAAGAGGAGTCGGAGAACTGAAGTTTGTAAGGCGTGAGCAATCTGGACGCGTGTCAGTGAGTATCTGCTGGTCAGCCACTCCCGAATGTGGGAGTCAGATATCGACGGTAAAGCTTGTCGTACTGTTGTTGTCAATGTATCGAGGTTGAGGTCCGAATCTTTGGTCCATCCAGTGGGTGTCGTAAGGGACGTTCTGGCCGAGGAGGACGTATTTGTAGCGGAAGGCGTAGAGGTCACCGGTGAATGAGACGTATGAGGGGACGAGGGACAGGTGTAATGTACTCTAAGTGGTGGCATCCTCCGTGTGGCATCAAAACGGTGGGAGAAAGTGGCATCGAGAGGAGGCGGGGGAATCCGTAATGCAGAAGGTGTTGAGGAAGGGTATGTGGATGTACTGGTGGTGGGACGTCGCGAAGTTGAGGACGGAGTGGTGGAGGATGGTGGTCGACAGCCGGATGCCTGTGAGCTTCGCCATGTACTGAAACCCACAACCGGCCTGGATGTGGAAGAGGAGGAGGGTGATGATGGAGAGAAAAGTTCGTCTCGTAGGCGGCGAGCAACATCATCGTCACGTAAGGCAGAAAGAAGTGCTGGTGAAACCGAATAACATTCTGTCAATTGTCGTACGACCTCGTTGACAAGGAGTAGAGCGTCGGTGGATTCGAAAGCAATCGGGTACACGGGCTGGCCGTTGGCAAGTCGGCGATAAAGCTGGTGAAGTGGGCCCTGATGTAGACAATCAATAAGTCGACTGTTCTGAACTTGTCTTCCGCCTCGTACTCGCGGTTGAGGAGCGCCTCCCGCACGTGCTGGATGATGACGGGGTGGAGTGCGGGATCGGGACCGCTCACGGACCATGGGAAGTAGGCGGGGACAAGGCACGTCCCGAGTGTAAACGGCTGCGGGAGGAAAAGGAAGAGGAACAAGTAAGACCAACCGAGAATCGCAGGTCGGACGGTTTTCCGAGCCAATGCGCATGGAGGGAATCAAGTAAAGGGTTGAAGACGTATGCGACGGACAGGTAGAGCAACTCGTAAGACGGAAATGGTGGTCTCGACGCCCTCCTCGTCGTCGAAGTAGAAAAGTTTGCACGGAGCACCCTGTCGTAGAGCAGCTTGAGGTATGCGGGCAAGATGCAGCTGTAAATGTTCCGTGGAATCTAGAAGATCACGTAGAACCCCGCACCAGTCCAAACAAACAGAGGCCGTTGTCTGACAAATGAATAAGCTCACGTGCTGCAGGGAGACGCGGAAAACTGCTTCATGGTATCCGTGTCGGACCAATCGCGGCGTGCTACATTGGAGTCGTGCCCTTCGCATGGAGCTAGTAATGAGATCGCAAGACCTGGTCACCCACAAGGGCAAGTTGTCATGCGCCTCTGGGGAGTCTTCCGCATCGTCGTGTAGTTCCAGGATCACATCGATGTACTGCAAGTACGAGGTGACGTGCGCGAGCGAGGCGATAGGGAAGGGGGTGCTCATAATGATCGGAAACGGCTGCGGCATGTATCCATAACAGAACGAGGAGCACGGCACAGTAGGAAGCAGCATTCTCCTTTTGTCGTCAACGTCCCCAAGTCGGTGTGGCACCTTGAGGTAGCTCTATGGCCGGTTGCCAGGACGTCCGGCGGGCCTCAAGGAGGCTTCCACAAGCAGGTGCTTCTCGGAGGATTTCAGCGTCCTTGACGGTAGCAATCGCAGTGGTACTTCTCATATAAGAGAGGTGGCGGTCGCCCTGGAGCAGCTGAAAATGAGATGGGTGCAAGTACCTTCCATGGCGTTGATAAAGGAGTTGCGAAAGTCGTCGTTTCACATGGTCAATGAGCATGTCGCTCCACACATGAAAATCGAACCATTCCGCGTGTTCTCCACCGTCAGGTAGGTCACAACATAGAAACCATGCCGGAATCAGAACGCGAAGACGTATCAGATTGGGCGGGTTGGGTAGCCCAGCAACGGCGGCTGAACGTTTCATAGAGCTCGACATGGAACAAGGCGTGGCCGTGTGGTAAAAACAAAAGAAACGGCTGCGGAATCATACATCAGAGCAAAGAGCGCAACCAGAAAGAAAGGTGCATCAGTGTGAGCTTTTATGTCCGGGCGATCGGGAAGATTGCATGAAGGTCAGAATGTGGAATACGCCGTCATGGATCCATATCGATGGCGGCGGCCGTGGCGACGAACACGCGGCGGTGGTAGTGAAGGCATTGTCCCAACAGCAGGTAGGAGTGGGCGCGCAGGCACCGTATCTGAGTCTGCAACAGCTCCATAGCCTCCCAAGTATGGATTTCATGAGGAATCATCAATGTCAAGACTGCGTCAGAGAACCGGACCACATCAGCGTAGGTGGTTCCAATGGGTAAGGTGCGTGGAGGCAGAAAGGGTCCTCTCATTCGGGGAGTAGGTTCACCGGGTAGTAATTGAGCGGGTGGAGGTTGATGAACATCCCGAGCAATAAAGTGTGTGATGCTGCGTCCGTGCAAGAAATGGATGACTTCGTAGTTCATGCTGCGGCTAACCCGAAGGAGCTGGGTGGTGAGGGACAAGTCGAGCACGATCTCGAACAATCCATGGTAAGAATTATCCGCGATCTGGACAACCTCATAATACATGTTACATGCCTCCGCCATCACTTCATTCATAATCTGGTGAATATGCGGTCGTGCTGAGGTCGAAGAAAAAGGAACCAACCAGCCTCGCAACCGGAGGAAGGGTGAGAGCCAAAAATTGACCGGGACGTCGGTGAAGATGCAAGCCAATACGGTCGGTGCCGGAAGACTGGGAGACATAGGTGGTCGATGGAGTCGGGGTAGGACGATCTCTCCGAGATTCTCTGGCCGCTGCCACCCATTCACGGTATTCAGAGGTGGTAGGAAGGTCGAGCAACGTCTCCGGTGCCAAGTTCGCCATGGTGTGACGAGCGAATAAATAACTGGTGAACAATGTAACTGAAACGGCTGCGGACAGAGGACGTCGGGTGATCAATCATAATACAGGAAGTCAGTAGTAGAGAGGAAGGCAAGTGAGGACACTTTGTACCGCGCGATCATCCGCTCCAGGAGGTGTCCTGTAGGTGTCTGCTCTGCAGTGCAGTGCCGAAGGCGTGAAGTCGTAATCGGAACAGACGGCTGCGGGGAACCTCCGTGCAATCAAACTCGGTCAGATAGGAAGGAATGCCCAAGCGGTACGTCAAGGATGAGAACCGCACGATGCTAGAGAACTCCGAGCCAAGGGGAAGACGCCGACGAAGAAGACCGGGAGGTTCAGAACGGTCCGCAGGTAGAAGGGCGACTGTGGTCATCGAGCGAGCGAGGAGGTAGATGGCAAGTGCATCATTGAGATGTCGGTTGGTGGCGGAAAGGGCAGAAATCAAGCCGATGTCGAAGGTCAGAACGAATAAGCCATGATAATAGTTGTCTCCAACACGGAAGAACCCGTAGAAGAGGTTGGTGTGACGGTCAACAAGCTCGGCCAGGCGGTCACGGATCATGACATCGTCGGGATGTGGGGTCGTCTGCCGAATAGAATTGCCTGGACTGGCATCAATAGGAGGGTGTGTCGCGGCCACGGAGTACGCGAACAGTTGCTGGTGGTAATCCAGGAGCTGGTGCACAAATCCGCAAGGGAGTACGGAGAGCTGGAGCGGCATGATGTCCGGAACAGAAAATCTAAGAAAACGGCTGCGGAAGGCTCGAACATGTAAACAACGGTCAGGTAAGCAGTGCAACGGCGCAAGCTCTTTCCGCTCGAATACTGCCATCCCCGCGATGGCAACGCTGGTAACATGTGCCGGCTGACATATAAGGAGGATGAACCCGCTCATGTGCTCGGGGTAGTGGCAGGGACGGCTGCCGGCTGGAAGGTAGCGAGGACCGCGGTCATCGCCAATAGCTTCTGTTGGTTGACCTCCGATAACTTGGAAGCCAAGGTGACAGACAATCCCCAATCCACCAGGGTTTTGTCGAGAGGCGGGAGGACGCCAGAAGCGGCCTCTTTCAAGATGCCCTGTAACTCGGCGAGCTTCGGGTTGTAGGATTCGCGATGAAGCTTAATGAGACCGTCGAGCCATTTCTTCACGTCGGTGGTAGAGGCGGATCTGGGAGAATTGGAGGCGAGGACGGTGCGGCGATCGAGTCGTTCAAACTTGGAGAAGGAGTCCCGGAGTCTCGTGGCGGTGTCTGGCGGTGGATTCGGTTCAGCAAGTGGATGAGGCAAAGACTCAGCACCTGTGCCGGCCGCAAGCATCCGAAGTTGGTCGTTGTCCTGCTGCAATCGTTGAATTTGTTCAAGAAGTCCAGGTCGTCCTCCTGCTGTATCGTCACCGTGAGGTAGTAGATCATTGATAGTCGCAGCAACCTTGTCCGCCACGTGTTGCAACAGCTGAGCACGATACGCCCATATGGTAAGGTCGCGTGGGCCTTCGGTAGCAACGGCATGGTTGTCATGTAATTGCTTAAGGACATCAGAAATGTCGTATTGATCGGAAGACTTGCGGAGTGTCCGAATAATGAATGAAGCCAAAAGCGCTTCCTGCCGCGTCCTAAAGATCTCGATGACGAGAGGACGGCCAGCAGCCAGCAAGCGTACTATCCATGCTTGCCCCGCATTCGGGGTGAGCGATACCACCGGTACGAGATGAATTGGCATCTCGGCAATGCCGAGACGCCTGGTAAAGGCGGTGTCTACGACATTGCGTGGTAGAGGGAAACCGCGGTCCGGATTCGCATCAAGGAACAGCTCATTAGTGTCCCAGCTGGCCCCCAGTGGATGTATGTCCTCGTAGCGTTCTTGGAGCAAACGGTGGTCTCGAGCAGAAGGATAGTCCCGGCGATCACGGCGAGGTTCCCGTCGAACAGGAGGTGCACCGGAGGAGGAATAGTGGGCAGGATCATCACGAGGTAGAGGAGCGGAGTGCACCCGGCTGTCAGAGTGTGGTGCTCGTCGGTCAGAGTCTGAAGGAGGGGGATGTCGTCGAGACGATGGCCGTGGCGAGGAATAGTGTAGGCGACGTCGTGGAGGAGAGTCAGCATCAGGGTCTCGATGTCGATGTTGCCTGGTCGAGGTGTCGCGGCGGTGGCGGCGGTGATGTTCCGGCGTGTTGGACACGGGGGTTCGGCTTCGATGTCGTCGAGACCGAGGAGGGGACGTACGGCTGTGTGCTCGATTGCCCCGAAAAGACCCCGAACTGGGAGGCTGTGCCGTCGAGTGCCGCTGGGAAGAATAAGGATCGCTTCGAGAGGGATCATCACGGCCAGGTAGTCGATGTCGTCGGGAAGGTGGAGTGCGAGAGCGGTGTGGGGCCATGAGGAGGAGGAAAGGAAATATGAGGAAGCAGGCGAACAGAGCCAAGTGTATAAAACGGCTGCGGGAAGTGAGCTCGCTCAAGAACTGCAGCATCAGCAAATAGTTCGTTTTCCAAGTCCTGAGTGCGCGTCATGAGAATCGTCCAAGCCGGATCAAGGTCAACTCCTGGTAGCTGGAAGGAATGAAGACCCAACGTTGAATTCCGCGGTGTAGTGCCATGCCGCGGACTTGTTGTGGACAGAACGGATGGAAGATGGAGAGGCACGGTCGAGAAGAGTGCGACCGAGGGAGATCGGGTGTGCGTGCAACGTAGAAAGCATATTGAAGTCCACGATCACGAAGAAGGGCTCGTACTGCGTAATAGGCTCGGGAGCATGTCATCATCAGAGAAGTCACGGCATCGGGATTGAATGTGAGCTCGGCGAGGGCATAGTGAAGGTGATAGTCGCGTTCAGTACGGAACGCCAGAGCCTGACCATGTAGTTCAGCGATAGGAAAGAGACACCGTAGAGTGGAGTCCGGAGTAGGTGCTCGGACAGAAGCAGTGTCCATCATCGAGTCCGGGGGAGCCAAAGCGGTGCGTAGACGAAGTTCCAGGAATGGTAAGAAAACCCGGAAGAGAACAAAGGGGTCGGTCAATACGTCCAAATAATCCACGACAGTCGCCGAAGTGGTTGATGATGGGGTCGAGCAGGAAGAGGACGCGGAAGCCGAAAGAGGAGCGGAGCGGCGGGGCCACATGTCTGGTATCAGGGAAGGGTGGGACTGCACGTAATGCAAAACGGCTGCGGGACATCAAAGGACGGGAGGATCAAAGTCGGTGGTGGCACATGTTTTGGTCAGTTTCGAGCGACTGAGTACAGGGTCAGTGGCGGTCGCTGCTGGTCGCCGCTGGTAGTATCCGTAGCTCTCAGATCACGCCGATGTCGGTCACGGTCACGATGCGAGGTATCGCGTGCTCCTCGGGAACGGTCGTGATCCTCACGATCATCACGGTCTCGGTCAGCACGATCGCGTCGACGACGCCGACTGCGGGATCTGTCGGTGGTGGTCCCTGTGGCACGTGGCGGAGGAAGTTGCGGTCGTGCCTTGACCTGGACGTAAGTGAGAGTCCCATCGGCATCCACCTTTGGTGCAAGAGGTCGCCCGGTGTGCTTGGAGACAGCCGGAGGCGGCACTGTATTGCCGGCGGGGACGGAATCTGCACGTCCCGGAGATAATGGAGGCAAAGGGGAAGTTCCAACAGGTAGAGGATCAGGAGGAAGTGGGGATACCGAACGGCGTCGACGGCGATGACGGTCACGATCACGGCCTTCAGCTCGGGGGCGTTCTTCAGCTCGAGGGCGGTCGCGATCACGTCCACGAAGTCGTGGTAAGGTCTGGCGGTGAGAGGGATCCGCGTAAGGAGGAACCGGAGGTGGTCCCATAGGGGCCGGAGGTGCCATACTGCCGCCAGGAAGTGCATGCGGTCCAGGGGAATCATAAGCGGCTTGACCAGAGTAGGCACCTGGGTCAATGGAGGTGACAGGTGTGGTGGCAGGTGGAGAACCATCCGGGGGGATAGGAGAAGATGTAGTAGTCACCGGAGTCAAAGTAGGAGGCGGCGGGATCGGTGCCGCGTGGTCCGAAGGAGGAGGGGCAGTGTCAGTGGGTCGAATATTCGGTCGGTTCTGATGAGCTCGTAGTAGTACATCACGCACCTGAAGCAGCTGGTTGTCGGACAGCGACTCGAAGAACACCAAGAACAGCTGCAAATATTCGGAGGTGAAGGCGGAGGAGGCCATGTTGCGCTGTAAGGGTTCCAGCAAAACGGCTGCGGAATATAGTGCAACAAGAAGGAGACCGGCAATAAAACACCTCAAGTCACGCACACGTTTTGTGGCTCTTCTCACATGAACACGGCGATGCCTTCTGGTTGTGCGAGTGTGGAATGCACTCCCCAGCGGTTGTCGTTGCCATGTAGGATGGAGACGAAGTAGTTCGCCGCGTTTTCCGGAATAGTACCCCCACTGTCGCTCTTCAGGTGATAGCCCGCAGGAGTGTTGGGGAGCACTGAGGACGGTGTATCAGCAGGCGTGGCATTGGCTATGTCGAGATAGCAAATGGGTACGCGGCCATATACACAAAACGGGGAGAGCCCCAGCCTCCGAACTTGGCTGCAGCTCGCAAGGCTCCACTGAGGCTGTTGACAGAAGCTCGAGAGTAGAATGCCGGGCTCGGTAGCCAAGAGTCATCGAGGGGGTCGAAGTTACTAGGGCGGATACACCCTTCCTGAAGAATGGCAAGGGCTGCCTGAAGGTCGGTGTTATGGCCAAAATATGCGACGGCGGGTGCCCCGCTAATGCGCTGTGACGCCGCCGGGAAGGGCAATGACACCATTAACATTGGCCTGCCTGCTTGGTCTGGTCTGTGTTGGGGAGCCTCCACGTGCGTGAACTTGAACTGGACGCTGTGGGGATGATATCCGGCATGTACTAACAGGTGCATCACCGTCAGGATCGGGTCCGCGATGGTGAAAGGTACTTCCACCTGGCGTCCTGCCAGTAGTAGCTCACGTTGACACTGTCGGCGGTGAGGCAGAGCCTTGAAGTAGGACCGGTGCTGTAACAATGCAGTATACACTCGGTCCCATTGCACTGTCTTGAGGGAGCCCAGCCGTGTGGAATAATCGGACTGCAGGTAATTGTCGAGTTGTCCTGCTGCGGCCAAACACTGGCGTAACGTGGCCAGAGTACAAGCGGAGCTAAAAGGAGCGGCTGAGGTCGAAGAAGTCGTAGGTGGAGAGGTCAAGGATGCCGTAGAGGTGGTAGCAGGAACCGGCGTCGGAGGAGTAGAAGGCGCCGGGTGATCGTGGCCCGAAGAAAGTGGGACTGCTGTAGTAGGAACCAAACCGGGCCAAAAGGTGGTCGCCGGTAGTGGAGAAAGGTCAGGCAGAGTGTTGGGTGCTGCCATGTCAACGGGTCGTGAAGGTTGTAAAGGATCAGCGACTCGGCCAGATAAGGTTGAGCGTCGCGGTGCAGCAGTCCGAGTAATAGGTGCCGCCGGCGTTGACGAAGAAGAGGAAGAGGAAGAAGATGGAGTCGAAGATCTCGGACATGGTCGGGACCGTGAGCGAGAAGGTGCTGTTGTCCGGAGTCCAGGTGCACAGGACGGACGGGCGCGGGGAGGCATGGCGAATGCAAAAACGCAAAGCACAGCCTACCACAGTCACTACTACATGAAAAACCACTAGAACGTGACGGTCAAAACTCCCTGCCTGAGTCCTTGGGTATGAGTGCTTGAAGCTGCTTTGGCTGCAATCGCGGTCTGGTAGGCATGGAGCCGAATTTGTGGGTGCCATAAGAGGCGGTTAGGCCATGTGGCTTCACTGCTCTCTTCATTGAACTGATCTAAGCGCTGGCACTGAATTTGGCGCCTCCGGACTTGGAGGATCTGAGTGCAGCACCGAGGCGTACACCACCGTCCCGGAGGACTACACACTGAATGCTAAGGAAGGTTTCTGTATGCGACGGACCACCTGATGTCCAGGTCTCGAGCGACCACACATCAGTGACTTTGGACACGTATCTTCATGTGCAGTAACGTCGAAGCTGAACGGCTCAAAGTAATCCCACATAAACCTAAAGACCTGACTAAACCACAAAGGGCCGAAACCTCGATCCCCGCGCAAACAAGCACTGCAAGTACTGTATGCCAGGATGTCACGCAAGCACTGACGGAGTTCAGAATGGGGTTCTTGGCTTGGCCCCAGGCCATCCAGAAGATTTCATCACGAATAAAGTATAACCAATGCACAGCGAGGATGCTAGATACCAAATACGTTCGTTGTGCAGGTACACGGAGTTGATCAGACTCCGCTTCCCCCATGGTGGATAGCTTCGTTGGCACAGGTACCACCATGGGCCTGTGCCCCCTGCTGTGTACTTTGTACTCAAGTTCGGGTATATATGAATTGCACTCGAGAAATGGCTGCAGAGCGTGAGGAGAAGGCCCTTGGATACAGGGTTGTCACACACACAAAACAAGAAGAAGAAGAAGCCACACGAAATCGTTTTATGGTGGGTTTTTGCGAAGAAAATAAAATGAGAAAAGCAAACTTAATGAAACAAAACACAATTTACAAGCCCCCACGCAATCACACACACACACACACAAAACAAGAAGAAGAAGAAGAAGCCACACGAAATCGTTTTATGGGGTGTTTTTGCGAAGAAAATAAAATGAGAAAAGCAAACTTAATGAAACAAAACACAATTACAAGCCCCCACGCAATCACACACACACACACACACACAAAACAAGAAGAAGAAGCCACACGAAATCGTTTGATGGTGAGCTTTTGCGAAGAAATAAAATGAGAAAAGCAGACTTCACGAAATCGGTTTTTGGTGTGTTTTGCGAAGAAAATACAATGTAGGACCCATACTTTGAAGGCTTCAAAACCCCTCCTTCATCCCCCCCTTCAAGCCCCCCTTCAAGCCCCCTTCAAAGCCCCCCCTTAAGCCCCCTTAAAGCCCCCCTTTAAAGCCCCCTTCAAAGCCCCTTAAAGCCCCCCTTTAAAGCCCCCTTCAAAAGCCCCTTTAAAGCCCCCCTTTGAAGCCCCTTTGAAGCCCCTTAAAGCCCCCCTTCAAAGCCCCCCTTAAGCCCCCTTAAGCCCCCCTTTAAAGCCTCTTTGTCAAAGCCCCCCTTTGCTCACCCCCTTAAAGCCCCTTTGAAGCCCCCCTTAAAGCCCCCCCTTAAGCTCCCCTTTGTCAAAGAGGGAGAGGCCCATAGAGCTTGTAAGGCACATCGCTTCACGTTTGGAGGATTCTCCAGGTGATACCGCGGCAACCGACAACATACGTCGTTGAGGTTCATTAATTATCTTTACTGCTTTTGCTCTGGCGCGACGAACCGCCGGAGTCTTGTTTGGGTCGGTAGGCTTTGTAGTGGAGGATGGGGGGGACCTTTGGCTGCACTGTTCGTTGCGGACACCACAAGTTGTCCCTGCACACAGCTGGAAGCAGCTTGGTTGTCAGTGCACTTGGTTTTGCAATTACGTCGTCCGGTGGTGACGGACTCCTAAGATGGGTTGGGTCTCTGACCGGCAAAAGCTTTTTTGTGGAAGCCGCTGAAACCGACAACATACGTTGTTGAGGTTCTTCGTTCTCCCTCCATGCTACTCCTGAGTGGGAAGCTTCACGCCACTGCTGGAACCCCTGGGCCTGGTGTGCACGCTCTACTCCTTGCACCGTTTCCGACGGTGCTGACCTGGGCACGAGGCGCTCATGAGCAGTGCGCTCCACGAGTAGCGGCAGCTGCAGATTGGCTGCTTGCCCGGGTCCGGGCTTTTTGTGGTCGACTTTGCGATTGTGCTCTTATGCTTGGGACACTGCGCGGCTCTGGGTGTGCCTTACACTCCGTTTCCATGGCGCTGGCTCAGTTCTGCAACCCAGTTTTTCCCCAAACAGGAACTGTTAAGGGGTCCTCTCCTCAAAAGAAAAGGGAACGCGCCTGGCGGGATGGGTGGCACGCGGCTCGGGAGCTGGGGGCCCGCGGAGTTTGGATGGGTGGCACGCGTCTCGGGAGCTGGGGGCCCGCGCAGTTTGGATGGGTGGCACGCGGGGTCGGGAGCTGGGGGCAGGGGAGTTTGGATGGGTGGCACGCGGCTCGGGAGCTGTGGGCCCGCGGAGTTTGGATGGGTGGCACGCGCTCGGGAGCTGGGGGCCCGCGAAGTTTGGATGGGTGGCAGTTTCGATTTTTGGCTATGGCTTCGTGGTCTTGTATTGTTATGAAGCATAAACTATTCTATTAGTCAGGAAGGCCTGAATAATGCATTTGGTGGTGCTGCAAGCAAGCAATATTTTGCCGTGCTCTCAGCCGGCTCCCTTGGTATTTACAATAGGAAACCATAGAAAAAGAAGACAAAACCTATGGTTTTTTTTGGTATTTGCAACAGCAAACAATTGAAAATAGCGGAAAGCTCATTGGTTTCCTGCTATTTTACAATTGAAAGCCATTGAAAATAGCAAAAACCTGTGTCTTTTTAGTTCAAAACCATTGAAAACAGCAAACAAGCTATGTGTTTTTGAATATTTCCAATGGAAAACCATTCAAAATGGCAAAAAACTTATGTGTTTCTCTGTATTTGCGATTGAAAACCATGATTTTAGCTGCTTCGATACACGCATTTGGATGTGCTTTGAAGGACACATTGCCTCCTCTTTTGCTTCGACACAGCACGAGATCTGCTCTAAATTTGCAAGGAAAGCTATCCGAATGCGTTTTTCCACCCCCCTAAAATGCATTTGGGCATGTGTCTCTTTGCTGTGGGCTTGTCGGAAACGACCAAAATGCTCCTTTGATTTTCGAAAACGCTCTTGTGTTTATGGCTTTCCTTAATAAATATCGCACAAAGCCTTAGATTCCGCGAAACCGACAGAGCGCAACTTAGCCGTCGGTAGAAAGCCACAGGCAAATGCATTTTTCCAGCCCTGAAAAACGCATCTGGCTTGTCACGGATGCTTATGCACTTGTGGTCAGTGTCCAGGCACCAATCTAATCTCGATTTTTGGCATTGCTTTCGTGGTCTTGGATTGTTATGAACCAGAAACGATTCTATTACTATGGTTTTTTGGTATTTGCAACAGAAAACAATTGCAAATAGTGGAAAACCCATTGGTTTTTCTGCTGTTTACAATTGAAAACCATTGAAAATAGCAAAAACACCTTTGTCTTTTTAGTTCAAAACCATTGAAAATAGCAAACAACCTAATTATGGTGGAAGTCGGAAAGTTGAAGCGTG